GGTCGAACATCCATTTATAATCTTGAAAGTTCTTTGTGCAAAGTTTGCAAGATTCAGAGGGCAAATGATTTGCCTTTCCCACAACTCACTTGGTCCAACATGCCGACGTTTCCCGGAGCAGCATCGTCATCCATAAAGAGGTAGCCGAATGGACCTACACGATAATTCACATTCACCACGATGACGTTGCCAAGCAGCGCAAGAGCCTAAGAAGGTGGATGCCGTGAAAAAAAACATATTGAACGAAAAAAAAAGAAAAAAAACGGGCGCGTAAGTATCCACATAAACGCAATAATTCTTGAGCTTACCTTGCCGTCGTAAAGAATCAACGACGGGCTACCCGAATAATAGCCTCCACCAAATAACCATACCATCACAGTAAGATTGCTGAAATGGTTTAGTGCTATATTTAGTGATAAGGAGGAAGAGTTATCGCAAAAACGAACTGACTAGGCTTCGGCAGGAGTCCAAATGTTGAGATAGAGGCAATCTTCACTTACAGGAGTGTTATGATTCCACATTTCGGATCCCCAAAATGAAGTATTGTATGTATCGCGACCCTGAAATATTCGAAATTGACACTTACTTTTTGAATTGAATTAGTGTACTCCGACCTACAATTAGTATGCACTGGACAAAAAAATTGACATGCTTTTGTTTAGCCTGACAGATTTTTTTCACATTTAGCCAACTAAAAGCTCTTTGTCGCTTTGTATATTAAGAAAATAGTCCAAAGCGTTTATTACAGCATTTGTTCTCTCTTAGCACTAAAAGATTTATCTGTAGGTAGCGCAATGGAACTTATCATTGTTTTTTGTGGTTTTTTCCATCACACTGATATATTCGCCCCTGATTCTCAAATGTTTTCATACATAAATCTTACTTCAGCACGATACTAGTAAATGAAAATAGTTTTCTGAGTAAATTATCTAAAATTGTTTTAATAATGCTTTCCTGTTCATTCCGCAATTTTGTAAAACGAAATGCAAACAAATCCGGTATTTGCCAACTTTTTCTTCCAGTTTATTTCATTTCACATTTACAAGTCACGCATGTAATTTGAAAACGTGATTTGAACACGAGTTGAAAGCAGCTCAGATATCTTTTCGTGACACCACAAACAAAAGTAAATGCACTTAAGCAAAGAAACAGGTCACCTCAAATGTTTTGAAAGAGATGGATTCTTTTGCTGTAAAGCTGTGATTAGGTTGTCCTAAAAGTAAACCTCTTTAGTGAACCAGATTGTTTTTGTGTTCCTAGAACTTAGAGTCGTACTTTTTTCTACAAAGAATAGCAAGCTCTACAAAATAAGCGCTAAAGACTCGTCTAACAATAAGTCATTAGGTGAATGCGCTCAGTCAGTCAAATACCTTCAATAATTCAATATCTGAATTATTGAAGGTATTTGAATCAAAATAAAATTTTCTGAACAACCCAAAAAATCAAACCACCCTCCAAAATGGATCTCCAGCTTGTCATCATGTAGACACAGGTTGTATTCATAAATGCATAAGGTGGATTTATTCCGAGGCCCAAAACTGAGATTTAAAATAGTCCGAAATGCAAAAGTGGTGCTTTTTTTTCGAGTTTTGCTATTATAGCGAATATTTCGATCAGGCATACACACATTCTATGATTACACCTACTGAAGCTGGGAGAATGTTATTACATGTACGGGAGCTGCGCGAGAGGTGTGTCATGTTTGAACTTCCTTTTTTGTTGGTTTTTTTGAGCGCAAAAAATTCCAAATGCAATGAAAACTACCATGTAACTATTGTATGACTGGAGCTTCGTAAATTTTTTTCGCCGAAAATTCAGTATTCAAGCGACAGTTTTTATGGCTTCGAATTTAACCATAATCACAACTTAGTTGGCTCTTTAGCGCTCATTTTGTAGAACTTGCTTTACTCTATCGAATAGCACCCTAAGTTTAAAAAAACCAAAAACAGTTTGATTTATTTGGGAAAGGGGTTTACTATTTGGACAGCCTGATGTTTTAACGGTTGATTAACAAGCTTTGACCATTTTCTGAAAAAAATTCGTAACACTATTCAAATTTCTACGCTAACCTGATAACAAGCGGGAGACAATGTATTGGCTGTGATGGTGTCATTCCATGGTTTCTTTGGCTTTGGCGGTCGAAACCG